TACGCTATAAAAAATGCAAACATGCATTAAGGTATAAACCAATTATGTTTCCCTAGTGGAGTCTTTTAATTTACTACTAGTCAGGTCTTTGGTGATTTCCATTTCCCCAGTGAGTCGTGGTTTTCTCTTTCCCTTGTAAGCCCTTGGTTATTTTACCCGTGTTTGCTTTGCCATCAGAGTGTGAGTAAGAGTCAGTTCATAATCTTTCTTATTTCTCGAGTATTTGAGTATCCATGCTTGGTGTGTGGTAATTCAGATAATTGCCACTCTTGAAGAATTAATACCCCGCCTTTGGTTTGACGGATATTGTAACTCTTGTGTACTTGCAACCTCTTTAAAGTACAATATGTTTTGGTAATCCTTGTCAGAGTACCCCTCGGCTGGTCTCTTTCTCCTATAAAGTTCGCCTTTGATTTGGCGTTCTCTTTGAATCTACTTTGGTCAGAATTCTTGTCCAGTTTTCCCAGCGAAATCTATCACGTTGTATCCCCAGTAAGTCCGCCTTTGGTCATCGTTCTCTCTCCAAGAGTCTATCTTTGGCTAGTTTTCTTTTCATCGGTGGGTCCACCTTTGATCATTGTATCTTGATTGGAGTCTTCTTTGGTTGGTCTCTTTTCCATATATTCAACATTTTGGTTTAGGTTCTATTTTGATCAGCTCCTTTTCTCTGTTTGATCCATTTAGATCGGGTTTACCTTCTGTTAGTTTAGCTAACATTTTAGGTTATGTTATGTTTTGATAATTTCCTTCCCTTGTTAAGGTTCTGTTTTGATTAGTTCCTTTTCTCTAGTTTATCTGGTTGGATCAAGTTTAACTTCTGTTAGCTTAGCTAACATTTTCGGTTAGGTTATGTTTTGATCATTTCCTTCCCTTGTTTAGGTTATGTTTTGACCAGTTCCTTTTCTCTGGTTTATCCATTTGGATCAGGTTTACCTTCTGTTAGTTTAGCTAACATTTCTGGTTAGGTTATATTTTGATCATTTCCTTCCCTTGTTTAGGTTCTGTTTTGATAAGTTCCTTTTCTCTGGTTTATCCGTTTGGATCGGGTTTACCTTCTATTAACTTAGCTAACATTTCCATTTAGGTTATATTTTGATCATTTCCTTCCCTTGTTTAGGTTCTGTTTTGATCAGTTCCTTTTCTCTGGTTTATCCGTTTGGATCAGGTTTACCTTATGTTAGCTTAGCTAGCATTCCTTGTTCAGAGTCCTTCAGTGTCTCTTCAAAGTCCTGTTTGTCTAGCATCCTTGTTTAGGCGAATGCATCCTTTCTTGTTGGGGCTTTCTTCGGTTAGTCTCTTTCTCGTGTTTGCGAAAAACTCCGAACATTTGTTTCTTGATACCCAATTTCGCTTTTATGTGTCTAACTCTGACTAGACATGCATATCTTTATCCCTTGTGAGTTTGCCTTTGATCGGTGCTCTTTTCTTAGGAGTCTACCTTCGACAAGTATTCCTTGTTAAAGATTCCCCTTCAGTTGGTTTCTTTATCCCTTTAAATCCATCTTCCGTCGGTACCTTTTGTTAAGAGTCCTCTTTGACTGGTCTCTTTTCATTTGTAAGTTCGCCTTTGATCGGCGTTCTTTTAGGAATCTACCTTCAGCATAGTATTCCTTGTTAAAGACTCTTCTTCAGTTGGTTTCTTTATCTTGAAGTCCACCTTCAGCTGGCACCCTTTAAATCACCTTCAGCTGGTACTTTTTGTTAAGAGTCCCCTTCGGCTAGTCTCTTTTCATTGTAAGTTTGCCTTTGATCGGCGTCCTTTTCTCAGGAATCTACCTTCGGTATAGTATTCCTTGTTAAAGATTCTCCTACGGATGGTTTCTTTTTCTTTAAGTCCACCTTCAGCTGACACCCTTTAAATCCAGCTTCGGCTGGTACCTTTTGTTAAGAGTCCCCTTCGGCTGGTCTCTTTTCATTTATAAGTTCTCCTTTGATCAATGTTCTTTTCTTAGGAATCTACCTTCGGCATAGTATTCCTTGATGAAGATTCCCCTTCGGCTGGTTTCTTTATCTTGAAGGCCACCTTCGGCTGACTCCCCTTAAATCCATCTTCGGCTGATATCTTTTGTTAGAAGTCCACTTTCGGCTGGCACCCTTTAAATCCACCTCCGGCTGGTACCTTTTGTTAGGAGTCCCCTTCGGCTGGTCTCTTTTCTTTGTAAGTTCGCTCTTGATCGGCATTCTTTCCCCCGTTTAAGTCCATTTTCAGCTGCTATCAGTTTGTTAGGAGTCCCCTTCGGCTGGTCTCTTTTCTTTGTAAGTCCGCCCTTGATCAGTGTTCTTTCCCCTTTAAATTCATCTTCGGCTGGTATCATTTGTTAGGAGTCCCCTCCGACTGGTCTCTTTTCTCTATAACTTCGCCTTCGACCGATGTTCTATTCAGAGTCAATATCTATTTATATCCCCAGTAAGTTTATCTTCGATTGGCGTTCCTTTGTTAGAGCCTTCTTTGGTCGGTCTCTTTTTGTTATACGTCTAACTCTAGCTTGACATATATCTCCATTATCTTTCTTAAAAGTCTATCTTCGTCTAGTCTTCTTTTCATTATGGAGTTCGCCTTTGATCGACGTTAATTTCTTAGGAGTCTACTTTCGGCTTAGCCTCGTAGATTCGCCTTTGTGCATACATCCTTTGTTAAGAGTCTACTTCAGTCAGTCTTTTTTTTCTATATATGTGTCTAACTTTGACCAGACACGTATATTTTATCCACAATTCGCCTTCAATCGATGTTCTTTCTCATGGAGTCTATCTGCGGTTAGAAGTCCCTGCTGGAGCCTTCTTCAGTCGGTCTCTTCCTTGTTTGTATATGTCTAATTTTACCTGGCATGTACCCAATATCTTCCTTATGTCCGATACCAACTCTGTGCATGTTTATCCGATATCTGACAGATGCGTCCTTTCCTTCGGACATATATCATTTCCATCTTTGATAGGGCTTTCTTGGGTTAGTCTTTGTCATATGTTCTCTACCAACTTCGAACATATATTCATGACATCTTTGTTAAGAGTCTACCTTCGGTTAGTCTCTTCTATTTGTATATATTCCTTTGGCCTGACATACATTCAATTCTCGGGTTGTCAGGTTTATTTCTTCTCTGACTTCTGAGTCGCGAGTTTGCAAATTTGTTTCTTCTTTGATCCCTGAATCGTGAGTTTGTCAATGTGTTTCTTCTCCGACTGCTGAGTCGCGAGTTTGCAACCCCGAGTTATAGATGATTATCAAATACAATTTCTTAACAGTCGTTTGTTCAACTTCTGTTCATCTTTGGTGTCTTTCATTTGTGAATCTTCACCTTCACTATCTATATTTTGCAAGTACGCTTAGTTAAGCATCACTTCCACCTTTCGTTCGCCTTGGCAAATAGGCAACATAACTACTTTTTCCTCAGAGGAAATCCTTCAGGAATATCAAACCATTACCCGCCAAAATCTTGTTAGTGGAGGCATCCAATGAAAGAAAACTCATAAAAGTTCTTACATGTTCTTCGGAGCGCAAATTTTTAAGTTCTTTTAGTATTTAATCTTCTTCTACCTTGAAAGTTCGAAAGACTAGCGCCAATCTCACCTTCAGGTTGAAGACGATTAAATAGGGGCAATTGTTGCACCATAAAATTTGTCCTCCTAATTTCTTTTATTTGGCTTAGGCTTTTGCATTCATCTACATATATTCCATTAGATCATTAGCATAACATTGCATTCAATAAAGTGCTTGAGGTTCAAAGTTCAGTGATCGCGCAATATTATGATTTTATAGTGGTTAAGGCGTTCGTATCCAATAAAGGCTCATTTCTTCTTCAAGCAATAAGCAGTGGAATTAGGGTTGTGAGTCGTGGTCATTAAGAATGTCTTCTTCATCAAGCTACATGGTTGTTCACTCTAATTTCATCAATTCCAAAGAATAGGGTTTATTTCTCTTTATTTCCCATAAGTTCAGGATTTTGAGCAAAGTCATCATATGGTGTGCTTCATGGTATTTAGGGTTTCTCTATTGCTTTGAGGCTCTCATCTTCATACAAGGAACCTACAATCATCAGGGGTTTTTTCTCAATATTTGAATTTTATTCAAGTCATTTTATGGGATTTCATTCAAGGGGCTTTGGATTTAGACATGGAAGTTATTACAATTCATGGAAGTTATCAGATAGATTAGGGCTTGTATGAATTTCCTTGTCAAATTAATAGAGTTATGGTTAACTTTCATCACTTATTCAAGGTTGGTTCATTTGATTACTTGAGATATAAGTCACTACCTCTAGCCTTGAGCAAAAATTGAAGTCTACAAATTGTGTTGCAGATCGTTCAAGTTGGAAAAAAAGATTAGGTGAAACATTGATGTTCAACTTATTTCATGATTCATTCGAAAAGTGACAAAGTGAAGAAAGGATTAGAAATTCAAAATAATTTGAGGAAAGAGATTTTTCACTCAAAGAAAACTTCATTATCCAAGTTTCATCTATCAAGTTCATTCAAGAAAATCTTTCCAAACAACACTCATTATGATACAAAAAAGAAGAAGAAACTACACTACATGTCCCGGAATTTTTAAGGTGCCAAAGCCAAGTCTTCCATGCATCAAAGTATTTTGGGGTTTTCAAATCTAAGGATGGGATATAATGTTTCAAGTCAGGTTGATGACAAAGACTTTCAAACTCCAATCAAAGGCTCCTTTCAAGGGCTTCAAGGTTAAAAGCAATTGAGGGAAATCCAAATCCAATATTGGAAAGAAATTTGCTTCAAATATTTGGATGCTAGTATTGAATTTTCAAGATCACATATGTTCATCCAAAACCATCACAAACTATATCAGAGTTCAATACAAGTAACCAAAATAAACCATTACATCAAAGTATATTACAAGTTTGAAACTTATCCTAAACCTCTTCTTCCATTCTTCATGACGAAGTTTCTAATCATCAATCTCCTTCATGTTTCTGACAATTTGCCCAAGCTTCAAGTGACCTCTGCGTCAGGTGCCAGCTTTAACCATGTTTGTGCGACGCCTATACCATGCCAATTACACTTGCCAAAACACTACTGAAACTGTTATCATAAACTAACTCGTGATCCTGACCTGCATACACCAGTTCATAGAACAAATAAAAGTCAGAAGTTTAAACCATTAAACTAGTTCATATCCAAAATCAATTCCACCAGAAATCTATCCACCTGCACATACATCTAACAGTCCATGTTGCTACCAAAACCAAAATCAGTTCAAAATGCTACTGGTTACAGCCCTGCGTCCATTATCCAGTTCAAGAAAATGTTCAAAAAGTATAAAATCAAAAATCAGAAATATAATGAATAACCAATTTCAAACCCAGCTTATTCATATAACAAAAAACAAAAATTCAGTTTTTATCTAAAGGAAACTGTGGAAGAGATAATATCAGGAAATAAAATTAGAGGCAAGGTTCAATTACAGCTCAGCCAAACTTCTCAAGCAAGCTAAAACTCAGATTCAATCTACACCGTCCATTTGTGTAACAAACTTCTGATCCATTGGCCAAGAGATGTTAACCCGTAACAAACTCATAACAGAAACATAAAACAGAAAAAACTCACCACAGAACATAATTCTTCAAATTCTCTGAAGAATTTTCAACCTTCTCTCTACTCCTCTCATCTTCATTCTTCACTCTTGAGAAGAATAAAAAAAACGAAAAGCTCTCTCTCTCTCCTCTCTCTCTGAATCCAGAACCTCACAAATCTTCATCATTCTCCGTGAATTTATCATCATTTCACAACACAATCTAAGCAACTGTATCAACTTCGTCGGTTCATTCATCTCTAATTCAACAAAACTGCCTCATAAGTCTCGTCTTTTTCTCTGTAATGGTGAGTTGCGACATTACCGCTTCATCAAAATTCACGGAGAATCGCAATAGAAGACACAGACAGAAACAAAAGTAAAGAGAACAAGAAGATAAGAAAACAGAAGCGGATTTTGAAGAAGAAAAAGAAGAACAAAGAATCTAAAGTTGAAGAGAAGTTCATACCCGAGCTATTGGAACCTCCTCTCTGGTTTTCTATTTGCACAATCCCCAAACAGTTTCTCAGAAGATGAGTCGAAGAAGATGAGGGCGGAGATGTGAGGTTGTGAACGAACGCGGCGGAGATGAAACCGAGCCGCGATTTGAAGAAAGGATATCGGGAAGGTACGAGAAGAGCGGCGGCGCCGCGATTTTCCATCAAAGAAGGTACGAGAAGAACGCGGCGGCTTGCAAGCTTCCATGATGGCGCTTCACCGGAGAAGAAGAACTTTGAGTTCTCGTGAGGTTGAAATGTTATGATTAAAACCTTATCCTCTATCCCAAACGACACCGTCTCTCTCTATTCTTTTTTTCCCTCTCTTTTATATTCATTTTTGTTGTTTTTATAATAACAATAACAAAAAGGTGATGATAAGAAGCTAGTGGACTGAGCATTAAAACCGTTGGACCTTAGTCCAATGTGTGTGTTTTTATAAAAATTAACATACCTGATTTTTTAAAAAGAGTTCTTCTTGAATCTTAATGTTTGGATCTGAAATTTTGAGTAGTTTACTTCAGTATCCCTGATCTTTGCTTACATCCCCTGAAATCATTCTATTAGTAATTTCTTTAAAACAAATTGTAAATTATTTAGATTTGTTTTTGAACTTTTTCCACATGCTAAAAATTACAAAGTCAATATAAAATTGTTAGATTTATTTTATTTTATTTTAGGAATTAAATCACGATTATCTGATTACTTGAGATTTCGTAATTCATCTTTGCTTGTTGAGATTTAAGTCTTATGCATATTTATTGTGTGATATGCAGATATGTTTGAGTTTCCGATTGTGATTTATTTTCACAACTAGGATGCTTCGACACTTATTCCGAGCATTTAATTTATGACTCTTATCTATTGCTTGGTGAAGCTTACTCGAAGTTTTCCAAGTTTCTCTGCTTTGCTTGTTGTGCTACGAACTCTTGTTCGTTTGGTATCATTCTGCTTCCAGTTTATCTTTTCGCACTTTACTGCTTTTCTAGAGATCATGAGAAGTAGGAAGTAAGAAACGTGCGCTCAAAGTCGTTGTTTAAAGTCCTGTAGCAGACACCGCTTTCTGTATGTTATTTGTGTTTGTTTAAAATCCTACCTTTGAAGTACGTATTATGCACGTGTGTTTACATTTATGCTCGCATTTATTCCCCCATCCCTTATTGAATTCCTCAAAAGGAGGCCAGCGAAAAGGGTTTGCAATCGACCCTCACACATTCTAGTCCATGTCATCCTTAGCTCGCGTTGTGCGCCAATGCTTCGGAGTTGTGCAAATCTTGTTTATCGAGTCGTCAAGTGGAAAAGAGTTTCGTAATCAAACCCCTACACTTTATCATGAGTTTGCATTGGCCGATGCTAACACTCTGTGATTGTTCATATTTTCTTCTATCTATTACCTCAATTTTCTATATCGTGGTTAGGTGTATAGTCGCTTTGGACATCACATTATTCTTTATTTTTCTCATCCCTTTCCCGCTTGTTTGTCTCAGTTGATATGACCCATTGGCTAAATCTTCCCGCTTCATCCCCTTTCTAGCTTGTTTGCCTCAGTTGATATGAGCCCTTGGCTAAAGCATCCCTACTGTATTTAGTATCTACCTCGATCAGTTATATCTTGGTTAGGCCTTTACCCGAGTTAGTATGCACTACTCGTGGCATGTGTGTGCTCTCTTGAGCTTGTGGATTACTTGATTTCCATCCTTGTGTGCATATTTTCTTAGGTTGTAAATCTTTGGCATGTTCTCTTAGGAGTTCTTGATTCATCCTTTGGTGGTGATTCGAGATAGACATAAGTTTAGGTTATGAACCTTTGATATTCTCCCTTAGGACTTCTCAATTCATCCTTTGGCGGAAATTCGAGATAGACATTAGGATAGGTATCCATGCATGCTAACATAGGGTAGAAATTTCTCTTTTAAAACTCAACCTTAGGATCAATCATTGTATGATAACATTAGGGATAAATTTAGATAGTCTCCCTTAGATATTTTTCTTTCTTTTGCATCCTTGCATTAAGACTAAAACTCTTTTCTTGGAAAATAGAAAAAACATGTAACAACTTTCAAATTCTTTTTCAAAGTAAAAAATATCAATCAACGTAAACTTTTTCTGCCTTCAGGCCTTTATTCGAACCTTCAAAAGGATGTGTTAATTCTACTCTACACAACACGATGCGTAAATCCCCAAAGGTCGGGTGACACTATGTCTAAATTGCTAGAGTACGAATGTAGCATTATCTGCCTCCGGATATTTTTCTTCGCAAATACCTTATTAGGTAGAACATGTTAATTCACTTATGTGATGATGCATGAGTCTCCAAAGGTCGGGATGCGGCAGAAGGAGAAATTAATATTGTTCATTAAAAACACAAAATAAAGCAAAACACGTGAGTCGAACTACGGTAACTCTGATTCCTCAAAAAGAATACGTAGGCATTGGGATAGGGTCCAAGCGAGCACAACTTTATTTTCCCTATATTATTTTCTCTTTTCTTTTGCATGCATTCCCTCTTTGTATTTTTCTTTTAGCTCTTAAGCTTAGATTTGAAACACGCCCTTTGAATAGAATAACAAGAGTGAATATCATAGAGTACTACAGGCGCGTGGAGTGCTAATACTTTTCCCTCGCGTAACAAACTCCCTTACCCGATCTCTCGGTCGTTCGACCTTGATCTCACCCTTCTCAGGTTTATTCGATATTTACATTTCTCTTCCTGTGGGATAAAAAATGTTCAATGACGACTTCATTGATTTCACCTCGATGATTTATTCAGCTGATTGTTTCAATATCATGTCATGTTTTTGGATACAAATAAAGTATTTCTTTCAACTTTCTATGCAGACAAAACTTGAAATATTTCGGGTTTATCTTTTTTGCTCGTTGATTTTTTAAAGCCTCTCTCTCTTTTACTATTGAGTTTTTTAAGTCTTTTCTATCACTTTTAGATAAATTCTCTTTAGAGACAAGTCATTATAGGTCAAGTTCTCTTTGCATAAAATATTTTATTAGAAAATTCGAGTGATCTTAATATCATAATTAAAAATAGTACTTATATCATATACAATGATGTATTTTTAGAATTGTTCCATCAAAAGAATATCGATTTTAAAATTCATAACATATTACTTTTATAATATTTTTCTTAAAATATATACACTATTAATAAAAAAAATATGAATTGGATAAGTAAGATAACTAAGTGATATTTGCTAAATGGGCGAGATGGGTGCAAGTTGTTGATCTTTAATTCCATCCCTATTAGCAACATTTTCTTATATTTTCTCATAATGTAATAATGTAGACAAGTTGATACTTATAAATCAATGATTTAAAAAAAAGTGAATAAAAGGATTAAAATGTGAATAAAAGGATAAAACAATCGATCATTCTTCCTTTGAAATTTCCTTATTAAAAGAAATTAATCTTTTATTTATAATGCAATATCCATGATCACATGGATGGTGGAATAACATAAATATAAGTTACAAGATATATATGAGAAATGCCTCATCCTTCTCTATGGATATTTTACTTCCACTTCTTTATCACCTCTAAAAACATCTCATTCCAAGTATCTATAGGTCCTGGCAAACACCAATGCACACAATCATTTTGCACATATTCTTGAACTCCATTTGTAAATGGAAAAGGATTCATATAAGGACCTGGATGACCATCTGACCTCAATAGTGCCAATTTAGTTACATCCAAAACCTCAAACCTAATTCCTCCAAATTCTTTTGCCTTGACCTTAGCACTTTCCACTTCTTCTATCTCAATCCTTCTAATCTCACCTTCCATTCCTCCAACTACCTTTTCCTCTTTTCTATAAGGCTCAGTCTTTGAACAAGTACCACCCTTATTCCAATCACCTTCAAAATGGGCAGGTGAAAAAGTTTTCACAATAACATCAATTCCATTTCCTTTAGCAACTTTAGTATCAATTATACTATTAAGAGTAGTCCCTAAAGCTTTTCTCAATGGAACATAAAAATCAATTTGAGTATGATTAAGCTCAGGACAATTCAAACTACCAATAACTAAATTACCCTCATAGTAAATTGAAGGAAGCAAAAACCAATGCCCAATTGATATCACAATCATGTGCATTTGATCAATATCCCTTGCCCACCTCTCATTGACAAGATCCAAAAACATTGTATTATAATATTGTTCTTCATTTGATCTTTCAACACCATGCACTAGAAATGGGGACCAATACAAAGAAAAGTTTACATTATGAGAAGGGAAATGCCACCTACGAAATTTTTTGTCCTCGCCATTTTGGTAAACAAGATAAGGTGTAGAATTAGTAGATAACATGCAAAGAAGTGACTCTAATTGGTTCCTAGCCAAAGAATCTCCAACAAAAGCTATGTGTTTGTTTTTCATGAGTTTGAGGAAAGTGTTTGGTTCAAACCTTGGAAGATTGCACTGACTTGGTTTCCATCTCCAATAAAGATAGCCTAAGTCAGGTCTTCCATTGGTGGTGCACTTCTCACTCTCTTTGATTGTGCCACATGTTGTGACATTGTATAATGGTTCTCTCATGTCACTTACCCAATCTCCATTTGAATAGTCACATGATTTCTCATAATCATAAGCCATGTCCTCCTCTGCAAAAAGAAAATTATTGACAAACTCAACTAGTAGATTTTATAAAAAAACATTAGCAACCACATCATAAAAAAATTATGTTTTTGGAACAATTGTAATGTTGCACTAGTCATATTTAACTAAGATTTCTAATGATATTAATAAATTGCAATTGCTAGTACCTCATTATTTATTGTTCTTATGATAAAAAAACAAATTATGATTAGTTCAGCGACGACCATAAACAATATCACAACACTTATATCAATTAAAATCACGACTGTGACCGACCGTTATTTAAAACTTTGCTACTACCTTAATTTTAAAACTTTGCTTCTAAAGATTCAAGAATTCAATTATGCATATACATACCTATAGATGAAGTTGAAGGAGGAGAAGAACAAATAGAGGTGTGATAGGTGAAAATGGTGGTAGAATGAAGAAGCTGAGTTGGTGAATGAGTAAGAGAGAAAAAGTTGAAGTATAAACAAATAAGGGATATGGGAAGCAAAGAATAGAGAGTGAAATGAAAAATTCTGTTATTGATAGAAAGAGGATTATCATTGAAGGAGATTATGCTTCCCATTTTCAAAGCCACTAGTCACTGTTTTGTGATATTGTCGGTTGAGAAGAATGAAGGAAGAAAAACTAAGTATGTCACTTGTTATTGTATTGTTAGGGTCAATGTAGGAAGAGAAAGGACACTCTTTAATTTTTTTGTCTCATGCCTTTATTTCTCTCTTTCTTCCATGATTGTTGGATCTTGTTTTATCTCAAAGCTTTTTCTAATTTTATGAGTCACAAATTATTCTTTAGTCTTTCTTTGATCATGATAAGTGATTTAAAATTATCAATATAATTAAATAAAAACTTTACTAACGAATTTAAGGATTTTTTTAAATATTAAGATTTTTTTTTTAAATGTTGAATATATATAATTTTAATTTATCATTTAAACAAATTTACATAAAACTTATTATTTTAGCTAATTAAGAAATATTTTTTAAATTTATTTTCAATAACAAAAAAATCCAATCATCATTTCAAAGTCAGAAGATCTTCAAAATAGAATGCACCTACGACTTTGAGACTCATATACTCAATCTAGATCACATATGATTATTTATTATTTGATATATTCTTAATTAATTTTATTAATTATTTAATTAGAGATTTTGATTTATTAATGATTAAATAAGTAATTAAATTAAATAAATTATTAATTAAGTAATTGATTATATATAAATATTTGATATGGGTTTAACATGAGGGGAGAAGTCCAAGACGACTCATTCTAAAATAAAAAATTATAATCCATCATCACATTATATATAGACTTATATGTAGACTACAGCTCTTAATATAATGAACATATTATAAATTCATATATATTAAATAATTGATATGGGTTTAATAGCAAAGAGTTTAAATTGAAAAAGAACCATTAGAAAATAGTGTTGCCATCTATCCCTATTTATTTGTGTTTCTGGATTACTATTGTTAGCATCTAGAGTATTTAACCTAAGATTCAAATATTAATATAATCTTTAATAGATCAATCGTAGATTTTAATTTAGATTTTTTTTTTAATTTTCGCACTCTAATTTTTAAGAAAATATAATTCTATTAATCAAGAATTTGTGAACTTAAATATGAACAATGATTAAACATATGTATACTTATATATTATGTTTCGTTCTTTATATTAAAGTATGAATATTGAATGTAATTATATTATTGAACATGATTAATAATTAAATTATCAATTTCAAAAACTAAAGGAGTAATTTATATGTATCCATGTGTTTCTAAGTCGTTTATTCTTGTAGTTTAATCTTGCCCATGTGTGAATGATAAAAAAAATTGATAACTAAATGTTTAATTGGATGAAATTTGTATGATAAAGAAATTTTTTCTGAAGTGAAATTTTGACACTAACAAAACAAATGTTGTATGCGATATTAAGACATTGAAATCAAGAATTATAACAACACAAAAGTTAGAATATTAAAGTGAATTACAAGAAATAAATAATACAGATAGTTGTTAATCCAGTTCGATGTAACTTCACCTATATCTGGGAGCATCCAAGTCAAGAAGGAAATACACTATAATAGTATTAGTTTGAAATCTTACGTAAGCAAACTCCGATTTATAGCCTTTGCACCTAATCACTACTTTGTGGTATTTCTATCTAAGATTTTTTTAGATATGAGACCCCTCTCACTTCCCTTCAATAATACAATAGTGATGACAACATAACAAACAAATATGAGACACACTACAATAAACAGAATCCACTCTTACTTAAAAGCTTATGAGTGATTAACAATTACAACTCAAAAATTAGTTCAACTCAAGCATCTTAGTGATACAAGAGTGGCACACAATAATAATGAGCAGACTAAACCCTAATAGATACTATCACATGCGCAACTCTGTCATATTTCTTAGGTTTAGAGTCTTCCTTTAAATAGTGTTAGAATAGCACGAGCTTCAAGTTTGTTCTTGTGAAGGGAGTATCATCTGCAGTTGTGTGTGTAGGAAAGTTTTTCCTCTGATGACCGATAGGTATAAGTTTGTTCTTGTGAAGATGTACATGTTACTGATGGTAAAGACCTTGTCGGGAGCTGGATACTTATCTGATGTATGGATGCAAATCTGATCTCTGAATTGTTAGTTTAGAAAGTGGTTGAGAGTTTGTTTCTCTCAATGGTGTTCAGGTGGTTGTATTAACTCGAACAAGCTGCAGAAGGTGTGATTTTTGTGATCTTCTCTTAAAAGGACTATCACGCTTAATGAGATCTTTGGATAATAAATCAAGAATCGAATTATTGGCTTATGTGAAGAAAGGATGATATCCTAAATGATGTTGTAACATTATTTTTTTCCTAAAGGAAGGTATCAGATTATGATTATGGAGGATTGAGGATCAACATTGGTGTCATAAGAAGAAGTTCTTACTTTGTGGATCAGAATATGCAGATTCTGATCTTGTCCACAGTAGTATGCTTGGTGAACTCATGACTACCATGGTGAAGACTTCACTAGTACCGACAATTACTAGTGAATATGAGGGCAAAGAACTAGAATCACATAGTGTGATCTGATCGTAAAGATTGTGGAGAAGTGGTTTTTCCTCTACTTTAAATCTTTCATCCTAGAGTTTTGAAAACCTAGAAATTGAGTGCTTGTGTGTAAATGATGTCATAGCTGTGTGGCTCAAGCCAGAGGAAGCCAGTCAATATGCTCTCTCCAAGAGTCAGTATGATTTGTCTGCAAGAATCTATTTTCACAGTTTGATAGAGCCTTCTGCAAGGTTTGTTTGAAGATACCAAATGTGATGCTCTAATGTTTGGTCACGACATTTATCAGGACTTGTTGTGTTCTTAGGCCTATTAAGGAAGAACTATAGGCAGTGCTGTTAGGAGGCTTATGTAAAAAGTGTCTTGAGTCTCTGCATGTGCCTTTTTGGAATTATAAAGTAGTCAAAAGCTGCTTTGGAAGGTGCATGCGTTTTCTTTTGGTTGTGTTTTTGTTGTGTCCTTAACCAAAATCTTTGACCCCTTATAAGATAGTTAATTCCTATATCATTGCTTGGTTATTTATTGAGGTCTATCTCTTTCCCTTATTTCACTTCTGTCTGCTAGTTATCATGATCTTCATGTTTTTTTGGATATGGGTAAGTTCTGATTGGGTCTGAGTGTGTGAAGGTTATGTTTGTCAATTTGTGACAAGCATAGGGAAAATGGGTAGTGTTCAGACGTTGTTAAGTCAGAGGTCAGTTTTTGCAGTTGTTTTGCAAAGATGTCAAATAAGATGTCCTATTCTCAATATGTTTATTTTTGGCTGTTTGTTGTTGTGTCTTCTGATCTGAGTTAAGAACACAATTTTGTCTTGTGTTCTGAGTTACCCAAGTTTGAGGTATGGTCCTCTATGTCTGTACAAGGGTAGTTCAGGTGGGTGTTGATTTTTTCCTTTAGTTTCCTCTTGAGTTTCAAAAGAGGATGTTGTGTTTGTCTATGTCAAAGCATAGTTCTCAGGTTGAGAGGGAGTATTTGATATCTTCTTCCTCATGTACATCATGACTTCAGAAATTTCTCCATTTATCCTGAGGTTTTTGTCTGTGGTGTTGAGTCTGTTGTATTATAGTGGATTGGTTCGGGCAAGTGTGCAATAAATATCCCGACATCAATCTGAGTATGATTCTTACCTCTTGTTAAGTCCTTTGTCATATTCTGGCTAAAAAGGGGGAGAGAACATATGTATGTGTTGAGATTCTCTTTCATTGTGCTAAACTTGTGTGTGCAACTTTTAAGGGGGGAGAATATGTGTTTGGATGTTGTGAAGAAGTCTTATTGTTGATGTTGTGACATCTTGTGAGAAGACATTGAAGACTGAATACTTTCAAAGATGTGAAGCCTAAAAACACTGCTTCTGGTGTTTTTAGGTTGTTGTTGATTTTCTCTTAATGTAATTTATGAATATTGAATATGCAAAGAATATGTAAATTAGTGTTTTAGCCAAAATAAGCCAAAGGTGGAGATTGTTAGTTCTCTAAATTATGTAATTGGCATTATGTTTGGTAAAACTAATAGAACAACAATATATTAGATAAGATGTATTTACTTTCTAATAGGAACAGGTTGTGCAAGAAGTCCTACCTTATGTTGGGACATGTTGAGTTGAAGTATTTCAACATCTGGAGCAACATGTCGGATAAGATGTCCTATGGAGGAACATATGACATCGAGCCTGAGATGAAGTGATTTGTTTATTCTGTTAAGTCACAATGACATAATATATTTTAGGATATTATATTATCCTATGTGGTGTTGTTTTATAGGTCATGAAGAATCAAGTCAAAATATTGAAGATTATGCAGTTTCTAATTATGGAGATTGCGATACGGTGGGAGAACTGACTTGGGTCGTTTGCGTTTGATCGCAATTGTGCGGTTAGCAAGAGTCGCCACCGACTTTTCTTTTATCCAAAAGGAAAGGTAAAAAAGCACAGGAAAGACCTTTCGAGATTAGTTCTCGGGTTCGGGGGGTAGATTATGAAAAGGGAAGGTATTATAACCCTTTTCATCCATGGTTTTCCATGGGCTCTTAGTTGCTCGCTAGATAACTTTCTTTTGTTTGAATGTGCTTGTGGTGTGTTTTTTGAATGTATTTTGAAAATTTCCTTTGCAATGGTTCTCGTCTCTATAAGAACGCATACAAAGTGTTGTTTCGAAAAATAGTTCAAAGAGGTGTTTGTGTATTGTGTTTTTTGAAGTTGATTTTGAAAAGATGTTTTTGTAATGGTTCTCGTCTCTATAAGAACGTATACAAAAAGTTTTCGTCTTTTTGAAAAAAGGTTTTAATGTGAAAGTATTGGTGTAAAATGTTTGGTTGTGAGCAAGCGAGCAATTTAGAGCAAATCTACCTACTCGACAGGTCTTAAATGTTCTTTTCTTCCTTTAGATGTTGCTATCTTACCATTGATTTGGTAAGAAGCCCCATCGTTGGATGTGAAGGGACAGGCGCGGGTCAATTGCACAGTCATAGAAGGCAACTTATGAGACACTTTAGCAATTTTTGT